CTCCTCCTCCTCGGTCACACAGAACAAACAGGCAGAGAAGGAGGAGAGCAGCTGGCCAGCCGGGGGAGGCCTCCCGTGCTGCGAAAGAGGCAGCCAACGATGTCCGGCGCCGTCCCGCTCCACACGCTGGCTGCTCGGACTTGCCGGGCCCGGCACATAGAACAGGGCGGTGCCGGATGTTGGAGAAGCTGAGCGGAGCCGAAGCGACCTCAGCTCATGTTGTTTTCTCAGCCCGCGAGCCTAGAACCAGGGCGCTTTCATTGCACGGAGGAGCTTCTTGTCTCGGGAAAAACCGGGCGTCGTTGCTGCTCCCTGAGGGGAGGGCGATTCTGGGCTGCGCGATTGGGGGACTTCGTGGCTTTGGGTGGGAGTGAGGACGGACGGAGTCTGTGAAGCGGGGCTTGCCTGCCCTTGCTGGCTGCCTCTGCTTCCTTAGGGGCAGGGAAGGGGGCTCATCTGGACCAAGGGTGAGTCTCCCCCTCAGTTTCCCCTGAAGGATCTTCCGTCGCTTTTGCCTTCTCCCTACATCTGGGGCTGTCGGGAGTTGCTGCCACCAGTGCGGCTCCAGTCCCGCGTTGCCTTGGGAAGGGTGGGGCAAAACCAGGAGCCGCTGAGCCTGAGCCTCCCGTGCCGCTGCCACTGTTGCAAAGCGCTGCCGCGGCTCTTCCTTTTTGCCTTTCCCTTCCTGAGGCGACGCGGGACTGGGGCCGCGCCGGCGGTAGCGACTCCTGACTCAGGGGGCCTCCGAGGGAGGGGAAGAGAGTGACTCCTGCCTCCCGCTGTCATCATCATCTTCTTCTTTTGGGTTAGTGAATCAATTAAACCTTTCATGATAGTGAGATCGTTTCCCAAATTAATTATTTTTATTTTTGAAATTTACCAGTAGCTGCTGCATTTCCCACCCTCGGCTTATACTCGAGTCAATAAGTTTTCCCAAGTTTTTTGTGTAAAATTAGGTGCCTCGGCTTATATTCGGGTGGACTTATACTCGAGTATATACGGTATTCACAATATATTGTTACAATGTAATTCAAAATTCAGGATATTAACTTTTTACGGTAGACCTACAGACTAATTTTAGTTCAACAGTATGTTCCCATACAAACCAGAAAAACCATCTAGTTATTTTTACACTATAGAAAAAAAATCAGATCAATAGAAAAGTCAAATCATCATTATGTTCAATTCAGGAACAAATTAAAATTACACATCACCACACAAAGAGTAGATTATGTATTTCATGGAGTCATCTTGATTAAAAGCCAGATATAGATCACTGCAGATCCTCACAGTTTGAAGAATCTTGCATTTCAGAGTGTCCCGATAATGGAAAAATGTCATAAATCCTCTGAGTTTATAGAATGGATACTGCAAATAAAGACTCACAGTGATGATCAAATAACAAATTGCAACCACATCCATAAGTTGTACAAGGACAGTCAAGAGAATAATTTTTTATCTGCTCCTCAGGCCCAAATACCTGAATATTAGGAAGAATTAGGAGTCATGGTTATGGCAACAGAGGTTCAAAAAAGAAGTATAAAGATATGGTTTATCATCATAAACAAAAAAATCCTTTTGTAAATACCCATGCTTAAATCTATGTTTTTTTCTAAAGATACCACCCTAAATAACCAAACCATAATTTTTATGATTCTTCTTGTAATCTGACATAGCTTTAAGTGAATAAAAATAGCTAATTTCTACATTATGTTCTGCATCATAGCATTGTCAAAAATAAACAGATACATTACTTCTGTGATCTGTGGTTTTTCTGAATTTTGAATTAGAGCAGTGTAATTATATTAAGAGTTGACAAGGATTTGTTCTTGGAACAGGTATTTTGTTATTGTGACAGCTTCAAAAAGTGCTGGCATCTGTCAATATAGACAATGGTTTCAGACAAGTGTCATATAGAATTGTGAAGATCTATGTGTATCTGTACTTTGGACACAATTTTCCAGCATAGGAATACAAAATATGTTATAAATGAAAACAGAAGCAGCCAGTGTTATTTTGCTGACTTGGATTGTTTAAAATCCATGAAAATCATGATAATTCATATTTTAGATCTTTGTGCTCCAGGTTTGCAAAACACCACTACATCTAGAATTGTGTTCTTTGTCCATGGAATCACATATGACCTGTGATTTGTTGATAGTATCCCTTTCTTTTGCAACAGGTAACTGTCCTCCTTAAATAGGCAAAATATAACCTGCTACTGGTATGATGATTTTCCCTATTACAGCTCCTACTTTATAATGGATTTGCTATTTAGTTTTGTATTTTATTCTACAAATTTTATAAAATGCTTTAATATATGTTTAATTATTTTAAATCATTATTTTAATTTTTATTGTAAACTATTTTAAGGTTTTTTTAAAAAATGGGATATACATACATTCATACATATATACACAGGCACACAGAGACATGCAGTCTGAAACTGCAATAGTACTCTTATGGAGACAGATGTGAACTGTGGTTTGACATCACGAGCAAATGTCTTCTAGTCTAGTGTATCAGTGTAAACACCATGTAAAACTTAAGAAAATCCATTTATAATTTCATGGATGCAATTCTTACTTTTATTGTTTTCTTTTTCATATGTAATAAACATTTTTATATCATATCATTCTACTAAATAGATATTTAGCTCTTGCAAGTATATGTCCACATAATAACTACAAAACTAAGATATGAAGATGCTTAAAATTTCTCAAATTTCAGTTCCAACAATTGTAAAAAGCCAAAAGAGAAAATATACAATCCTCATTGCAGAGGAAATTTATTCCCTCGAAATATTAAAATTGTTTGAAACCTAAAATGGTGTTCTTCCAAATGCATGTAAGGTCTATAATGTGGATGATAGGGAATAATAGCTCTACTTCATGAGTTCTTTCATTTCACTCATAAATATGATTCCTTTATTTTGGTGCTGTAGGATTCCCTTCCCCCTCCGCCCATATCCCCACATACATACTGAAATGACCTCTATATGGTGGAGAGGAAGGAGAGCAAGGCCTGGCGAAATATTTTCCATTTCTTTCAACTGGCAAAGCACAAAGCATAAGCAAACGTACACTGGTTCATCTTTGGTTGTTTGTATGTACAGGCAACGCATTCACTATTTTTAGCTTATCTCCCAATCCTCGGTCCCCTCCCCTCCCTCATAATTTCTAATTGCATTTTGGCAGGTCTATAAAAGTCGCGTTTGCGTATTAGAATCGGCTTTAATTTGACAGGCAACTCCAGAAGAAGGTGATTGGCTCTATAGAAGATGACGCCCTTAACAACAAGGTGGAGCTGGAGAAAAATGGATTTAAAAAAAGAAAGAGAGAGAGCGAAAAGGGAGTGGGGGAGGAAAAGCTCGGCTTTTGACTAAAACCTACACGAATGTCATTTTCACGCAATGATTTAGAATCCAATCCCAAACCAATTGTCAATAAAATCCGACGGGACACAAGGAGTTACAGCCTTCCCTTCCCGCCCCCGTTGTTTATAAGGCAAATGGGACCTAGAAAAAAAAAGCTCGGTTGTTGCCAAAAATATGTCTTCCCTCAGAAATAATCTGATGGCGTTGCAGCAGCTAGCGCTCTCCGGGTTGTAATTTTGAAATTCTCCCCTCCCTGGTTCTTTCGATACGATCTTTTGAAAGGGAGATGAAGAAAGGGGAGGTCGCAGGAGGAATTAAAATCGAGTGCGTGTGATTTGTGCTCGTTTTACAAATGCCAAACGAAGAGGATTTGTGGCAAATGTAAGCGTTTTCTCCCCTCCTCTCTCTCTCTCTTTTCCTTTCCCCTCCTCCCTCCTCGTTTGACTACAGTGTTGCAAAAGCAAAGAGCAATAAAAACATACACACATACACAGTCCAGAATCGGGAAAGATAGACCCACAACCTGGTGAGATTAAACAGAGAAAGCGAGACGAAGCTCTGGAAACATGTTTCCTTTTTATCAATCACATCTAGGGAGCAGCTGGGAAAAATGGGGACTTGTGAAGAAGGTCTGTAAGGTTGCCTAAGGATCCGGGAGCCGAAGAGACCGGCTGATTGGAAGAAAAAAGCAGAGAGATGGAGGCGGGGGAAGTGCGAGCTCTCTGCGGGGACTGGAGCGAGTCCACGCCCGGGGCCAGCGCTGCAGAGCTGGCGTGCATTCAACCAACGCTTCCCAGCTAAAGCAAGCCCAGGAAAGAAGAGGGGGAAAAGGGGGGAGCTTTTCTCCAAAGTCCTTCCGATCTGCAGGTAGGTTGCAGATGTAGAAGGGGACTAAAAAAATCTCCCCTCAGATCGACTCCAGGATGGAGCCCCCGTTGCAAAGAAGGGCGGGTAGGCAAAGACGGATCAGGGGGAGGGGGGGAAGCAGGCACGATCCGAGGCGCCGCTGCCTACAGCCGGGGCTGGCTTTGCGGCAGTACGAGCGCATGTGGAGCTCGCCATTCGCCCGACGTTGTACTCCACCATCTGGGCTGGAGGGAGGCGCTTTTGTTACCTCCTCGGCTCCGGCGGTGAAGCAGCGCAGCCAGGCTGGGAGGCAGGCGGCGGCGGCGGCGGCACTACCACCACAACCAACACCCGTTGCTGCTTTTTCTGCCCAGCATCTCAATTTCCTCGGTAAGGTTAAAAAAAGGGTTCAAACAAATTTTTCGGGACGCATATATTAAAAGAACGAAATAACATTTTGAATTTTAATATTCCCTTTTTTCAAGCACATTTTAGAGAGTTCGGGTATATTAATGTCACCGTATCTATCAACTGATGCTTTAAAATAGCATGTATATATATTTTTGCAAACGCGTTTGGGGTTGCATTTTCTCCAAGGAATCCGATCGGAGCCTTGGCAGACAATCGAATCGGGGGCCCTTTCCTCTCTTCCGGCCGCCTTCTAGATAGGCCGCGCCGCGGCATTCGACCCATAGAAGGGCGAGATCGGAAGGCGGTGTCTGCCCCTGTCGCCGTTGAGTCGCGGCGGAGGTAGATGGAAAAACTAGGCGGTGCAGGCTGTGGCGCAGAGATCCGATCTCTTTTCCTGCTCCCGCCTGAGCTGCTTTTAGAACCAAAAGGGCGCTGCCAGGCGTGAAGGGAAAAAAGCGGTGGAAACAAGCCGTCGTCTTGTAAGCTTTTCCCCCGTCGCCTGCACCGTGAAAGAAACCAAATGCGGCGGAGAAAGAGTCTTGGGTTTTTTTCCCCCCGCCTTTCCACAATTGATGCACCCTGGCTTTATAAATTACGTGCAAAACATTTCGCCTCAGTTTTTACGGAATCTGCCGCGGTGGATTCCTATTACTTTCCCTCGCTTCTACCGCGTTGGACGGTCTTGGCGAGATCGGGCACCAGAATGGCTTTTTCGACCGTCGACCGGTTGGAGCCAGCGCGAAGGGTGGTTCCATGCAGGCGAAGAGATCGGCGTCCCTCCCCTGCTCTCGACGATCAGCTTTTTCGGGGGACCCCAGTTGCGGTTGGGTGTGGAGAATCGAGTTAACGGGGTTTGAGTCGCCGATTTCCCCTGCGCCCTAGGCGCACAGGGGGAGGCGCTCCCCGGGGGTCTGGGCGCTGGTAGAGGGAAAGGAGGAGGCGGCGGCGGCGGTAGCTGCCGCAGCCAGGACGTGCTGCCCTCCCTCGGCTCTGCCTGGACGCCCCCAGCCGGGCATTCATTTCTCCCTCCCGCCAGCCAACCATCCCCGCCCCCCTTCCACCAGCGGCTCCGATGGGGCTGCTGCTGCAGCGGCTCTCCGGCTCCTGCTCCTCCCCACTCGCGACTGCCGCCGCCACAACGAGGCGGGCTTGTCTCATCCTTATTAACCGCCTCAGCGAGGTTACACCGACGGAGAGAAGAGAGACGCGGAACTCGCTTGCTGCTCCCCTTTCTTCTGCAACACGCTGGGCACTTCGGCGCCTGGGTCTCGGCCGACGAAGCGGGATCCACTGCTTCGCGCTCTGGTACTGGGGTTTGGGGGGAACCGAAGTTCTTTCTTTAGTGGCAGGGAAAGCTTTCACCGTCCGCCCGATCGACGGGGAACAAAGCGGGAGCTCGCCTTCCCAGCTAGATTTTCCGAAGGGGGAATAAACGAACGATTTACTGTATCGAAGGCTGCCTTCTTTAGGGATCGTGGCTTGGGCTGGGATGCGAGTCTTATTTATTGAGATAAAGGAAGGGATCTTCTAGTGAAGGGAAATGCTGCACTTGGGAAACGAGCTGGTTTCCTTAGGATTATTTTCGTAGGGAGGATTCCGCGGGGAACCGAGGGTGATCTGTTAACGCAAGTTGTGTGTATGTGTAGATCTTGAATAAATCCCGTAGAAATCCAGTAAAACGAATCAGAAGGGAGCGAAATCCTGCGGAAGGAGGGAAAAGATCCTGGAATCCGTCGATCTCAATGTTCCCCCTCCCTGGAAGGCCGACTGAAGTTGGTTGGCGAGGAACGCTGGCAATGTCGAGAGCCGACGGGGGCGAGATCGTAGCGAAACCCTGACTTTCTCGTCTTCGAGAATCAAGGCGGGGAGAAACGAAGGAACGGGGCCAGGAGGCTGGAGCCCGAGCAGGGGTTGAAAAAAAAAATGGGGTGGGAGCGAAATCAGGCAAGCGAGGTGGCGGCGGCGGCTAGATTTCCCCTTCGGTGGCGCCCGCAGGGCGTGCGGAGAGGAAGGAGGCGGGGGGAAGGAGGCGAAGCAGAAGCAGCTGCACCACCAGCTCCGTCGGTTCGGCTCGGCTCTCCCGCCTGCCTGGAGACAGGCGAAGAGGGGGAGGGTGGTAAGCAGCAGCAGTCGCGCTTCTGCTGCTGCAGGAAGGCGGCAACGGAGATTGGCTGGCGATGGTGCGGCCTCTGAAGAGCTGGTGAAAGGGGAGGGAGAGAAGAGAGGTCTGCAGATCCCTCCTCTTTGCCCGGCCTGCCTCCTCTCCACCCCTCCCGCCCGATTCGCCTTTACTCCGCCCACCTTGTGCCTTCGTGCTGCATTCTCCAGTAGCTGCTCCAAGAACGTCCCCGCTCTCTCATTTCTTTCGCCCGGAGATCGAGTCCCATCCCTAGCTTTTTCTCCCTTCATTAATGCTGGCGACATCTCAATCGCAATAATTCTGCTTTGATACCAAGGCTCTCAGTCTTTTTTTTCTTTTCAGTTATAATACCTGAAAGTATTTTATTAATTTTATTATTGCTTCTATGCTTACAGATGGAATCTTTCTCCGAATATCATTCTATTCTTCTCTGATTTAACTGTGAGGCGGGTTTGGCTTAACTGTTCCAGTGTTCTCTGTGGCTACAGATCATGACTACGTTAGCTGGCCAAATTCCCTTGATTTTTATGCTCCCCACCCCGGTTCCTTTACTGTACTGTGCCAACACTCCTCCACTTCTGTTTTAGTTTTCTTCCTCGCCTGAAAAATGGATTCTGCTTGAAGCAGCTTTCCTCACCTGCATCATTGGGTGTGTTTTTTTCTAGGAAAGCAGATTCCACCAAACCTTGCTCCTTAGAATGTATTTATTTATTGAATTTGAATTGTCCCTTATGGCTAAATAAAGTGCCATTTCAGTTTACTGAAGAGAGAATTCTAAGCTGTTCCTGTAGCAATCTTAGGCCATTAGTAACTTCCTCAACTTTATAGAAAACTTTTCAGCCATACATTGTGGGTACCTGTCTTCTCTTTCAGCTCCCGTTTAGTCTTGAATGTATGAGTAGCTCACAGGTTATAGGTTCAAGAATTGTTTAATTCTTGTATTAATTTCCAGGAGTTACTAACCCAAACTCCATGTTTGTGATATTTTACCTCTTTGTGAAGGTAGCCTGGTAAGCAGAGATCCTTATTCCAGTTTGTCTTTTTCAGGGTGAAAATTGATTGACGCCACCGTGAAGGGGGAAGACAAGGAGCTGGAAGGGGGAGACCCGGGAGGTGTCACCCTTGGGTCTGAGAGGTGGAGGATGAACGGAGAAGCAGATAGTCCAACTGATTTAGAAATGACGGCCCCCAAAAATCAAGGTGAGAAGGAGTGCTCCTGGAAAAGCTAACACTGCAGTAGAAAATTATGCAGAACCATGTTCACAGCTGCCACTTCTTGAAATATTCAACTTCATTTACTGATTTTTAAATATATTGATATTTAAATAAAATTACTTATTGATTTTTAAAGATGCTTAGCTAATTTCATTAAAAAATATCAAACGGAGCTAAATACTGTTGCTAATAGATAATATGTAGAAGAAAAACTTTAAAAATGTATGATGCTTTCTCAGATATTTGCAATGATGACACAAGAAGTAACACTATTTTGCTGGCTTTAACAGCAACTTCATCTCATTGGCCATTCTATTCTTGTCCGCATTTAGAAAACACACTGACCTTGTTCGTGGTTAACCATGAATACATCTCAAGGCTGCCCACCAGCAAGTTGTTTCTGTGCTGCCTGTAATAATAATTTATAATTTTCTTTTATAACTCCCAGAATTCGAAAGACCATGCTGACCTTAAAGGGTGTTAGATTGCTGTGCCGGAACATTTGAAGAGCACTAATTTGAGAATAAGTCCTCAGAAACATATATGAAATTCTTGCATAATATGTTTCCCCCCCCCCCTTTTGCTTTTCCTCCAGACCGTTGGACCCAGGAAGACATGCTGAGCCTCTTGGAGTGCATGAAAAATAACCTGCCCTCCAATGATGGCAGCAAGTTCAAAACCACAGAATCCCATTTGGACTGGGACAAAGTGGCCTTCAAAGACTTCTCTGGTGATATGTGCAAGATGAAATGGATTGAGATCTCCAATGAGGTAATCAATTGCTTTCTGAGCTCAAAGAGGACTGACCTGAAATGATGCTTTACATATGATGATTTGCCTTGCAAATGTGCTGTATTGGTTAATTTAATTTGAGTATTTGATCCAGTAACAATTCCAGTGTAATGGCAAGAATTACTATATGGTAAGATGAGCAGCCAATAAATTTTATAAATGACAGAGTTTTTAGTGCTGTTTACCTATGTCTCATTTATGTCTCAGGAGCTCTTTCAATAACTTATATATTCTCAAACCTCTAAAACAATGTTTCTTTTCTTTCTCTCCTCCAATCAAGGCACCCCTATTCTGTTTTTATTTGGCTCATGTGAGCTGTTTTATTAGTCTTGACTGCTTTACTGTATTCAGGCTACAATTTTGTACTGAATTGCCTGGAGATAAGGCTGAGGCTTGCTGTTAGAATGGCAGAGGATTGCCTTGTTAAATTTGAAACTGTACAAAAATACTTTGCTATTACTATAGAGATGGTGACTGATCAAATTTGACTGCATGTTGAACCATGATATAGAGCAGGGCTCAGTAAGCTAAGGAAAATTGGAGGAGCTACAACTCCGTTGCTATCTTATTAGCAGGGAATGCTAGATGGGATTGTAAAAGTTCATCAAAACCTCAAAGAGTCCCACTGCCCCACCCAACCCCTGCATGTGGATAAGCCTCAGCAAAAATTAACCATACATCAAATTTCCCTCTCCTCATTTTTCATTGAATCGTTAGGGGGACTGCTAAGCTGAGTTTCACTGTTTAAAAATGTGGGTTTACTGGTGGTTTGAATGAGGAATTATGGTTTAAAACAAATTTTAGTTCTTGTTTTCCCAGTTAACAGTACTGAATTTTCTAGATGCATTGCAAGCTGTCATTCTTAGAATTTGCAATCAGCTTTATGGTTGTGAATGTACATTGAGGACATCACTTTGGGAAAGTTTGCATTGGTTTAATTAATATATGTTATCAGCAGCTGCATGTTAGCTGTAGCACAGAATATCGATTAATAGTCCCTCCAAATTCCCAATGTAATTATTAGACCTATCTATTGTTCAATTGCCTGCATGACAAATGTGCATGGTAAATTTAGTGTTCTGATAATCTCAGCATAGATGTAGGTTTTTTTGGAAATGAAAGGCAGGAATACATTTCAGTTCAGTAAAACAAAAGAAAAAGAAAAACAATTATTCCATTGGCAGGACAGTACTCTTTCTACTATTACTAGTTTCTGCTTAAATCTACACAAATAGCTTGACAAAAGACCCTACTTGTCAATTGAATCATACAGCAAATAATGTATTTTGATTTATCAGTTTAAACTAGCAGCTTTCAAAATACGCACAACACTATTCTCTTGTCTCACTTCTTACTTCACTACATCTATTTTCTATTTATTCCTGCAGGTGAGAAAGTTCCGGACCTTGACAGAATTGATAATGGATGCTGAAGAACATGTGAAAAATCCATACAAAGGCAAAAAACTGAAGGTAGGTGTTGGCTTCAAGGAGGAAATAATAATAACAACAACAACAACAATAAAAGAACTTTCTTTTGAATCAATTATTGCCTTCCCCCAAATGGCACAAAATTGTGATTTACGTATTTCTTAAGACTCAGTTTAGCTTCCATTTTCTTTTTTCTGGTTATCCCTTATTTTAATAATGGAATACAGGAAGTCATAATATAACATATCATATCCCACTCCTTGGATTTATCCATAATTTTCTCACCAGAGTTTATTTACTTGTTAGAGTTATATCTTCCCTTCCCTCCAGAGACAAGGTGGATCATGTGACACTCCTTTTTCCACCACCGTTCTGTCTGGTGTTTTGGGCTGACAGATAGTAACTGACCTAGAGTTACCCATTGAGCTTTCTAGGCCTCCTGGGTCTTCATCAAACACCTTAACAACTGTATCCCCAACTTTGCATGTGCAGATGGATTACCTAATTGTATATTTGTATTTTAGGTGAAAGTTTTTCTAATAAATATTGATCAATTCAATTGAGGAAAATGGGAGCAAATTTACAGAGTTCCTTAGTGGGTGCATAATTCCAAATACCATATATCAACAAAGTGGCTGTTTTGTATTGATTAAAACATAAGTATTAAATAGTAAATTATTAATTGTACAGTATTGGTAAAAATGGATGATCTGACATTGAGAGTCACACGTTCATCAGGTGGGTCACGTGATTCCAGATCACACCACTATCGTACAGTTTTTGAATATAGTTTATTAACTATTACAGGGTAGGAAAAGGGTTCCATTTATTTCTCAATTAAAGATAGAAACAAACACAAATGACTTTTAATAGACTTTACTCTTAGAATGTGAAACATTGAAAATGACTTATCCCAAAGTGTGCGCCCCAAAAAAAGTATTACAGTTATGACGACAAGCATCTTAATTATTAAAATGGACTGAGAATCAAACTGGCCATTCACGAATGCAAATCATAGGGAAAAAAACCAATTACATTGCCCTGGCATTTTCTCCACAATCAGATGCTGTTAGTCTTGCTTCATTATGCACATTAAAACTAGTGAGATCTCTCCTCTTCCTTGTAACAATTTGCATGGTGAATTACAACTTATGTCTGTGCACAATCCATTTTTCTAATCGGTGGACGATGAAGAGATGGTATTTCTGCCACCTATTTGGAATGTAGCCGAATTGCTCAACGTTCTGCTGAAGATATTTATGCTTTCATTCCTTGTTCAAAATCCAGAATATTGATTTGTGCAGAATGAATAAACATGACGATGGGTCTCTCTGAGGACAGGCTAAACTTGATTTGAGTAATCTCGCTACCCTAGCCAGCTCATAACTGTTTCTTGTGTGGGTCTTTGCAGACATTATTACATTGTCTAACTGTAGAGTTTACAAATAATTGTCAGATGAAATCTGGATGGGGAATCTACCTTCATTCTATGTTATATTACAGAAAAGCCAAAAAAAAAAAAAAAAGGGAAATTCTCTGTGACTTGGAAGATTGAAATTGTCCAAACCAGGAAAAAAAATGGAATCTGAACAAGAAGTCCTTGACTTACGATCAGTTTGGTCAAGAATTGCTATTGCTAAGCAAGGTGCCTGTTAAGTAAGCTGCACCTAATTTTACAACCTTTTTTGCCAGGTTTTTAAGCAAATCACTCCAATTGTTAAATGAATCATTGTCATTAAGCAAAGCTGACTTCTCCCATTCAGTTTGCTGCTGAAAGGTAACTGGAAAGATTGAGAATGGTGATCATGTGTCCCAAGGATGCTGCATGCCAAGCACATGAATTATGACCACATGACCTTGGAGATACTGCAGTGGCCGTAAGGGCAAAGGCTTGTTTTAGAAGAGAGGCTTGTACTTTTCAGTTGAGTTTTCTGATGCATCATTTGAAAGACTTCCTCCTCGCACACATACACATTTCTTTTCTGTGTGTTCTCTTTCTAAATCATTCTTACGTGTAGCAAACCATGTTGTGGTTGAAACTTTTTGATAATTTTTGGGAATAAATTCTGGAAATGAACTAATGTCCAGACAGCTACATCCCTAGTGTTTTGCATACATGGCTCTGCTGGTTTTCAGCTTGATTTTTACAGCACTGTGTATCAAACAACCTTATATAGCCTTGCATATCAAACATTAAAAAGCTATAATATTTAATTAAAAAGTACAACGGTCAGAAGAAAATATGTATTTGCTGTTTAGCCGAGGGCTGTTCTTTTTCCAGGTGACAAAGCTAAAGCCCAAAATAAGTGTAAAGATTTTTTTTCTTTGTGATGCTATTTCCTTTTTCTGGCCATATAAGTGGGACATACTGCCTTGAAGGTCTGAACTTAACAAAATAATGTATCTTGCAATACTTGGATTATTTAATACATTTCTTATATTTTCCCACTTTTTTTAATAGTAGAGTGGGTGGCAAGTAAAATACAATATTTTGATAACTACTGATAACTACAGAAAGAAGCAAAAAAACAGCCATAAAAAAGGAAAAGTAGAAAAAAGTATTTAAAAAGATTTATGTATTGTGTTTTTTTTTTAAAAAAAAGCCTTAATATATATCTTACAGCGATTATATTAGCGGCCAGTAATTAACAAATAAACAAAGGTATCCAATAGCAGGAATCCCTAATTGGAAATAACAAAAATGAAAGTCAAATTTGGAAGACCTATTCTTATAACAAAACAGACAAGATATACTATTTTAAAACCCAAACTTCCAAAGCAATGAGCCTCCATGTGTAGAATTATAATCAAATCAATGGACCCTGTGACAGCCATTATACCAAACAAATATGATATACTTTGTAGGGATATGTTTTTTAAAAAAAGCTACTGGCAGGATGGTATACTGTTACCATGGCAGGAAAGATAAGGCAAATTAAGGTGTGTTATTCAGCAGTAGGCAAAAGGAAAGATTTTAAGTTGGCCTTAGCTCCTTCCACCTTTGCTTGTTTGAGAATGAGTATGAAATAAAGCCTTCTAAAATAGGAGTGTGTTCCTTTGGCCTAACAGGCAAAGCTTATCAAAAGATGCAATCAGGTGTTGAATAGGCATTGATGTGCAAATATATGTGAACAATTGGAACAAAGGCTATGTTAAATAACCTGTAAATTGCAAAGATCTTTTCCCCTCCCCAAATATTTTCTTGTACTTTTCCTTTGTTATACATCACACATTACTACTTTTTATTGTACAATTTTCTTGGTTATATATAGGATTTCATTATTCACAGTAACAGTATACCATCTGGGTGCAATCTCTATATTCTTAATTACATATTGGTAATAAACCTTATACATACAATAGTGATAACTATTATTCTCAATATATTCATCTTCACTTATCCTTTTTATGAATTTTACATTGTATTTTAGGCTCTCTATTCGTTTTTCTCTATAGTCGATTAATACTATCAAACAACTATAAACATCAAGTTGACATCACATAGCCAATTAACTGTCGAATAATCCTAATGTTTACTTATCTTAGTTATTCTCTATTCATTAGGCATCTATGTTTACATATCCAGATTTCTAACTTCTGCCATTATTTCTACTATAGAATAGTTCCCAAATCAAAAAGGTGATCTCCCAATTTCTAATTTCTATCTTAGTGCTAATTCTTGAAGGTACAGTTTCTGTGTTAAACAATATTCTGCATTTATCTCTCATCTCTTGCCTGTTTTCCGATTTGAACTCTTGTTGACTTCTTGGCATGTCTCCCATACTCCTCCGATGTAATCTTGTATCTTCTTATCTCATTCATATTCAATCTAAGTATTTTTTCTATCTCTGTTGCTGCTTCTTTCTTTTGGATCTTCCATACACCTTTCAGTGGTCTTTTCCTTACTTCATAAGTATCTTTCTGTGTATCCCCTTCTAACTATTGGTTTCTCACAGCATAGCTTTATTTCAGCTTTAACTATCTCCTATGTTTTTATTTATTTTTTATTGTTTGTCAGTTTTTTCCCCCCTTGTCCATTCCTCTATTCTTTCTATTTTATTTTCTATTTCCTGGACTTTCCTGTTTGTTGGTCAATATCTTTTGGTCATAGTTTTCTGGTCTCTTAATCATATCATGTATCATTTCTTTTTATCTCCCTATGGTTCCTTGTCATCATTTCCTGCATACCTTGAATAATAATAAGATATTTGTTCCCCCTTGCAATCCCATTTTGCCTTATTTTAGTTAATTTAAAATTTAACTCAGTAATCAATCAGAATCCCACTGTCCCCGTTACACCTCAATAAGACAACCAATATTAGAGCAGTTCAGACAATACCTCTATTAGACCACTTTCCCTTCATCCACTTTTTCCAGCTTTAGTTTACCTTTTTGGCCAGCAGGTGTCACTGTTACATTCCCTCCCTCCTCCACTTTTACTGCAATCAAAATGTCTCCGAATAAGTTTGTTATCCAATAGATTCCCAAAGTTTTTCAAATTGAGGAGGTAGTAAGAAGTCCAGACATTTGAGACAATTTTAGTTTTCACAGAGCTAATCCAATCTGTCCTTTACTTGTAAAGTTACTTTTAGCTGCAATATCTTTTCTTTCTTTACCCAATCTTACAGTCGTTCCAGGTCGTTAATCGCCACTAATTTTCTCTGTTGAGTCCCACTTTCCAAGGGGGGGATATTAGGAAAAACCCCACTGCAGAAATTAGAATAATTCTTACCCAGATTGAGCATGTTATTACAAGATCATTCCTTCCTTCCACTTCCGTCTCAGCTGTCTTCCCAGCTTCGGTTCAGCCATGATGTCCATTCTTTCTTTTCTCTGGATCAAGGGGTTTCCTTCGGGTTAATCGAGGAGATTGCACTCTCCTCACGACCACCAAAGCATGCTCTCTACCTTCATCACCCATCCAGGGTGACTTTCTGCTCCGTAGAGTCTCCAGGCTTGAAGAAATAAGCGGGACTTCACGGAGCTGCCACTCATCCGCACCACTTCACTGCAAAGTCAGCTGCCTTTTCCGCAAAGATCTCTGAAGTAGCAGTTTAAAGTCAGTTTTATCATACTGTATGTCAGTATTACCTGGAAGACTACAGGTTTCTTTATTTTTGTGAAAGGTTTATAGAAAAATAATTCCCCATACCCACCCCAATATTTTTAAAAGAAAGATTTGACTAGTAGCATAGTTATTAACAGGTATTAAAATTAATACCCCCCTAATTGTTACAATGTTCACTGAAGCTTCTAAAGTAATGAAATATATTGTATTTGGGATCTTTGGTGCTCTTTAAATTTGGTTTTCTTGCAGACGATTCATTACCAGACTAAGTAACATCAGTCAGACTGCGGATGTTACCTGGTATGGGAATGAAATATCTGCAAGAAAACTACCAAGCTCGGAGAATCAAGGGCCCCTCAGTTCAACCTGAGCTATAAATATTTTTCTATTAATATTTTGTATGATTTTTTTTTAAAGGCAGAAGCCCTTTATACTTTAACAAAACACTTTTTCAATTTCTAACACTGTTGCTAATAATAAAAGTTAAAGTCAAGAGTTCTAGTTATGCCTTTAGGTTTATAGTGCTGCATTTTGAATGTAAAAAAAAAATGTTATGCCAGGATGATTTGTTTATTTAGTTTAATATTGCTAACTGATTGGATCTTGGTCTTTCTACAGTTGGAGATGCCACATGCTTTACATGGAGGTTTTGGGCCAGTCACTCTCTCAGGCTAACTTACCTCACTATGTTCTTGTAGGAAAACAGAGGAGAGAACACTACATATACAGTAGAGTTCATGTGTGTATTGCACTCTTGAATGAAAGGAGAGAAAAGTACTGGTAATGAATAATAGTAATATCTCACAATAATAACTAGGAATTAAAGGTACAAGTTGAGGGCAAGTTGTGGCAGAAAATGTAGAGTGGGCTTTCCTTGCCTTGATGCTTGTGTTGGAAAGTGATTGGGAATTCTGGGAAGTTATAATTCCAGCCCACAGAGAGATGTATGGTTGGGAAGACTGTGATAAGCTTCAATGCTGGCCTTACAAAGTTAATCTTCAGGGTAGGAACAAGTAGTTTAAAACAGTAACAAACAGCAATGGCAAAATAGATAACCAATTTAATTATTTATATGTCTTGAGAAGTAGCTCCATTTTTATGTCTCATCAGATAGAGATGCTAAGCTAAAATAAAGCTTACATAAGATTAGTGGAGTTTCATGGTTGAATTCAATTACATGTGTTACTTAAATATGCTATCACCTTATTCCAGATATTTGGCACAGCAAACAAATGTTATAAACAAAACAGAGTAAGAAGATTAAGTAAACTCCTAATTTTTTCCATTTTGTGTGGAAAGATTTCATCTCAAAATATTTCTTTACTTATCTCCTGCCCCATTCAGAAGCATCCTGACTTCCCAAAAAAACCTTTGACTCCGTATTTCCGTTTCTTCATGGAAAAGCGAGCAAAATATGCTAAGCTACATCCAGAGATGAGTAACCTGGACCTAACCAAGATTCTCTCAAAAAAATATAAGGAACTCCCTGAAAAGAAAAAGGTGAGCAGTACATACTTAGAATGTGGTGAGGAGTATCAGGAATGGCATAATTCTGGAAGCAGTTTTGCCTACCAACAGCAAGCCCCTTTTTATTGGTGCTTCTAGCAAAACCAGACAAAAGCAAAAAAAAAAGGAAACAAATGAGAGGGGGGGAAAACGCTATTTTTTCCCCTTGGGGAACTTAATACCTAAGAATTATGTATTGTGTGCCTTCTGCAAAAAAGAATATTCCCTTTCTCAAGTGCTCTGAATGTGCTACCTTTAATAACAAACAGCAAAATGAATTTTTATAGAACAATTCTTTAGACTGTTATTTAGCTCCAGATTATTAGGATCTTGAGCTTAAAACTGGATGCTTCCCTTGTGAAGGGCATGTTTATATGCCTTTCTCTCAAAGTAACTAAAGGAACGTGACTACTTGTCTGCTGAATTGCCACTGACATTTAATGAACAATTTTAACTTTGTATAACATGGTGAGTTCCACATTTCCAAAATCAGCTGGTATACTACTTAGTTCTTTCTGGGTGGCAGGATTTCACGTGTGAAATAGTTGTCTAAGCATCTTCAAGGTGACTCTTGCCTATTAATATCGCCCTATACAGGTAGTCCTTGACACTGTAATTGAGCTCCAAATTATATTTGTAAGTTGTGGCAGTCATTAAATGGGTCACTACATGAGTGCACTTGATTTTATGACCTTTTTTGCAGTGGTCATTAAGCAGATGCAGCAGTCATTAAGTGACCACTGCAGTTGTTAAATCCATTTTATCTTATGGACATTTTTTTACTGGAAACTGGCAAAAGCTACTGAAAATTGTGATGGTGCAGGACACTGCAAAGGGTCGTAAATGTCAACTGGTTGCCAAATGCCCATAATACGGTCACATAACCACATAGAGGAGTATGGCCATTAGAACTCTGTAGATCTGTCATAACTTCGGACACTTGCCAAAACAGAATTACACATGTACAAAAAAGAAATCCTGAAGCAGGGGTCCCCAACCTTTCTGCAGGTGAGGGGAGAGGGGATCTGTGCAGAGGCAAGCTTGCACACATACCCTCTACTTACGCAGCCCAGTTCCCAACAGGCTACAGCCTAATACAAGGATGCTGCCTGAGGGTTGGGGACCCCTGTCCTAAAGGGGGAAAATATTTTTGGCCCTATTACTACAGAGACTTCTAAAAATAGGCTGCAAAATATCTGACTTTCTGCAAAACTAAATGGGAAGCAAGATAACATTCTGGTATATGCAAATGTGCCAAAACCTAACCTTTAAGGGTTTTGCAAGCTGGAGGCAAAGATTGCTGAGTAGAGGAGCATTTCAAATTTTTACAGTTCTTAGCTCTGAGCTAAGAAGAGTCCAAGATGCTTTAGGTCTGCATGCCAAGAAATTGAACTTCTCATGTCATTTCCAGAGATAAAGAATAGCCCCGTGGAAGACTTGGTGGGCATCTTGTGCAAACACATACGCGCACCAAGTTATCTGCCATTTCAGAACATAGAATTAGGAAGTAGATATTCAATATAATAGCACTCAGACTTACATACCACTTCACAAGTGCTTTGTAGCCTCTCTAAGTGGTTTACAGAGTCAGTATATTGTCCCTAACAATCTGGATCCTCATTTTACTGACCTCGAAAGAATGGAAGGCTGAGTCAATCTTGAGCCGGTGAGAATTGAACTGCTGGCAGTTGGCAGATTTAACCTGAACTGCTGCATTTCTAACCACCGCTCTTAAAGACTCAAGGCAGTTCTTTCCCCAATGAGAGGGCTTGCGTATGACAGCTGGCTACCTCATATATAAATAGCAGCGGTGGAGTATTTTTCCTCTTCTCCCTGTTTTTTAGATGAAGTATATTCAGGATTTCCAACGAGAGAAACAAGATTTTGAGCGGAATCTGGCAAGATTTAGGTAAGAGATCTTAAGCAACAATGCCTTGCTTGTGTCCATGAGCACTTTAAGGCTTCTCAGCTATAGACTTCAGTTGCACACATCCAGTGGAGGTTTTCCTGAACTTTACAGTGAAAGCTGCTTTGATTAGAAGATGGCAAGGAGAGAGTAGAAAGAATAAGTACTGCTAGGTTTCTTTATAGCGCAGGAACCCACTTCGCTTTTTTAAAACTAGAAATAGAATAACTAAGTCTGGAAATTTATATGTGTATAAGGCAGGTAGAATTGTCTCTGTGAACATTTCAAGCACTCATCTAATCAAATGTTGACTTAAATCAAATATCTACCTAGGCAGCTGTTCCCAGCTTGAGATATGTTGAATCCCAAGATGTTATGCTATAATTCACTTCATTCCCAGACATATGCACATAAGTGATCATATGCACTTAGGGAAGCTGTAGACCACAACATCTGAGGAGAAAAAAAATTGAGAAAGGAAAATGTAGACCAGCCAGATTTTCTACAATACACAATTGTTATCACCTTCCCAAAATTTGAAGAGAACTGCCTTTCCTGCTGTGTAGTGTGTAATTAAAATTTTGGTTTCTAGGAGAAAAAAACCAAACAAAAACAATGGATGCAATGAGCGTTTATATCGACAGAATGTTTCTTGATAAGGGATTGGGTAGAAAATTTGTCCCGTTATCTAGCATAACAGGTGCTGGGTTGATTGCTGTTGATCATTTTGTTATCTATTTGTTTAATTTCCTCCTCTTTCTTGCTGGCATTCATTTCCAGCTGGTAGATTTGTGTGTGTGTCTATATGTGTGTGAAATGTTTTTATTCAACCCAGAAACTCGTATCTTCATTCTCCAGAAATGTCTGGGTAGGCAGTGGGTACAGCCTTTGCCCTCACACTTTTTACCATGTCCCCATCTTGCTCTTAAAGTGTTAGAAGGTTTCAGAATTTTGTGCCAAGGTCAAATGTTGGTGTTATGTCTGAAGACCTTTCTTTGCTCATGTTTGAAGCTCGGAGGATTATGAGGGAATATTTTTTTATGGAGAGAAAATAAAATTATCTTATGGGCAGATTGATCTTGCAGTCTGGGGATTTCTTGGCATTCAAGAGTGGGGATTGGTATATAGGGCCTTAGGTTTATATGAAAGTGTGTTTTGTTAATTCCAGTATGGTGATGCCTTACATTTTCCATCCCCTGTTATCCTGAAGGGAAGACCATCCTGATCTCATTCAGAATGCCAAGAAATCTGATATCCCAGAAAAACCCAAGACCCCCCAACAGCTCTGGTATACTCATGAGAAGAAGATCTACCTGAAAGTCCGACCTGATGTAAGTAGCTCTACCTTTATAAGTTTGAGGTGAAGGTGGCATGGGAGGCATGAATAAAGACAGCACAGAGAAAGCAGTGGAAACAGAGGGAGAGAGGGAGGTAGAAGGCTGTTTCTGAAAGTGGGGTGGAGGAATTAGGTATAAAGCTGTGTCTTTTAATTTTTGATCAACTGAGGCTCTGGGTTACATTTGAGGAAAAAGTAAAGGCCGCCTTGGGTTATTACATTTGGGGTTTTAGTCACAAACATGAACATTTTCTTCTTATCGGAAAACTTCAATTTTGCTATATGACCCATAGTGTGTCAGATGAAAATGTTCAGCTTCATGTTTTTTTCATGTTGTTTTCTTTTATCTACAGAGGGGTCCTGCTTTTTTAAATAAATGAAGCATTCAGATAAAAGCATTTCCCCCATCTACCGCTACATCAGGAAATGATACACTCAGGAAAAGCTTTGTCTTTTGATTCTGCTGAATATGTAAAATTGATTCTGAGAGGGCTGCCAAAGCGTCAAGAAAAAGCTATGAAACATAACTAAAGTTTGGGGAATATAATCTTGACAAATAAATATTTGTTTGTTTATTAAATGTACATGCCGCTTGTCTCACTGTCAGGTGACTCTGAGCGGCTTACAACATCATAAAAGCAAAAATTGGGCCAGTGAATACAAATGGTTTAGGGTTTTATAGTTTTTTCAGTTCCAACTGCCATTGAATGTTCAGATATTCTTCAAATAGCCTAATTTTTTTGGGGGGGGGGGGTTGTGATTCATTGAAGTAGCCCTAAGTGCCCTTTTAAAGCATAGCCAGATTTTGATTTACTTTCTCTTCTGAAACTGTAAGGTTTAAGGTCATCTAGAATAGATGATGAGCAAAATATATAGGATAGACAAATCGTTTTCGTGCAGTGTATAGTTAATTCATGGAACTCATGGCTACAAGATGATGAAGATCACACATACAGATGGCTTCTAAAGTGCTAGATTTGTAAAGGATTCCCTCCAGAAGCTGTGGGTGCTCCATCACTGGATGTTTTTAAGAAGAGATTGGCAATCACTTATCAGAAATGGTATAGGGTCTCCTACTTGAGCAGGGAGTTGGACTATAGACGACCTCCAACATTCCTTCCAATTCTATTATTCTGTTAGAATGGTAAATAAAGTGAGGCCAAAGAGAGATCACTACAAAAAAAAGCCCTGGGGGTTCACTAACTCCCATCATTGTTGGAGGTGTAGCAGGGATACTCTTGGAAGTATGTAAAAACTGTGAGTGCGATATACTGCTCTTAGTGTCTGTAATATTTGCTTACTGTTTACGTAAGTTTCCATAATTACCGTTATTCAGACAGTTCTTTTATGAATGAAGACAAATATACACGTTCCATGATAATGTTGCAGGATCTAATCTGGGTCAGTCACCGGGACCAGAGGTTTAGTCTTCCATGTTTCTTTTGGTGAGAAAGAGAAGGATAGAAAGAGCAAAAACATGGGACCGTTACAAATGGCCTTCATGGGACTGAAACCCTTTTTATATATATTTAAACTCCAAAATAAAGATTCTTCAGAATTCTCATTAGACTCTCTGCATATGCCTTATGCAGCAAGTTATATTTTGCTTCCTTGCAGGATCAAGAAAAAGACCCTTTTAAAAAAATCAGAAAGAAAATTCATCTTTCCCAAAGTTTAGTGTAATTCACTGCTGTACCACCAGGGTGGGCAGTGTCCCCTCCCCCATTTTTTTCCATTGTACCTATTTTTTTTTTTTATTTCCCCCTCCCCACCTGGGTTTTTCAGGCCACCACGAAGGAGGTGAAGGAAGCGTTGGGCAAGCAATGGTCTCAGCTCTCGGACAAAAAAAGGCTGAAATGGATTCATAAGGCTCTGGAGCAGCGGAAGGAGTATGAGGTAGGGAACACTCAACCGTTCCCCTTCATCTTCTCCCCCCTATGCTCAGCCCGGCCTTGTCGCGGCTGCCCAACCCAGCCACGCTCCGAGAGCCGATTTGTGGGTGCCACTCCCTTTTACTAAGCTGGAAGGTAGTTGCAAAGCAACACCCTCTCTGCTTCATCCAGAGTTGAAATTGGTCAGGGTCAAGTAATGGGTTCTCTTCTGCCCACCTCATCACCCTAGAGCCTAGGAAGGGCTTGTCCCCAAAACTTTCTGGCTGTATTGTGTTAACCACCCTCCGTGTTTGTTGTTTCCAGGGGATGATGCGGGATTACATACAGAAGCATCCAGAGATGAACATTGAGGAGGGGGCACCACAACGGTCCACCCTAACAAAAGCAGAGAGGCAGCTGAAGGACAAGTTTGATGGGCGACCCACCAAGCCCCCTCCGTAAGTTGGGGTGGTCATAATTGGGAAGGCTTTTTCCCTTTCTGCAGGATTTTCACATATATTTCTTAGAACTTGTAAAATATGGGGATCTTCTTTACATTTAATGTGGCAAAAGGAACTTGGAGGTGAACTGAAAAGGCTCAAATCCCTGCCAGAGCACGTCACATACTAGCTGTTCATTCCACACATTTAACTAGGTCTTTTAGTATACTAACTGCTATCTTTGACAATGCTCATTAGGTTTTTGTGGTTCAATATATCGTGCCTGCTTAATGAAGATATAAGTTCAGTGTAGTAGAAATAGTAATTGTATGTCATTGTTACAGTATAAACTCACAGCATAAAGAAGTCAACAACAACTAAAATAATATCCATAAGAAAGACTAGGAATAATTTAGAACAGGTTTAAATGATGTGAACCTAGAACTCATTTTAATTTGAACTTTGACTGTTTCAGTTTAATCAGTAATAGTAAGTGGCATACAATGAAATGAGAACATGTAAAACCAGGTCACAAAACCATAGTTTACAAAAATATGATAATTTTGGGCATACAACTTAACCAATAAAGATAAAAGCTTGAAACAAAGATAAAAAGACCATTTCAACCAGTAATAAAAGCGTACAATGAGAAAACTTTTCAAAGTCCGACCTCTGCAGGTAGAGTATGGTATAGCATCTGGATGTAAGTTATCTTCAAAAACAACATGGCTCCTCATTTTTCCCTCAGTTGCCAACAGAGGTCAAATGTTGTGCTTGTTGATATCTGCAAGCGGGTAAAACTGTTGAGTTGGTGGGTACAATGTTGTGATTCAAGCCCTGCTTTTTACACAAGAGACATGTTGCATGACAACATCGTGTCAAACATTTTGCAGATTTTTCATACATACTCTACTGGCACTTACCTTCATTAAGGGGACAAAATACTTATCCTTACAGCAGTGCAGTTTGAAGAAGGCTAAAAGCCCTAGGAATTTATTTGAGCCCATGTTTATTTTCTCTAAATTATTCTCCTTCCCAATGTTTCTCATATACGATGGAGATTTCATTTACAACCCCTTGTGTATTTAAAAGGAGAACAGTTCACTATCACTTGTGTTGTAGGATGATGAATAATATAGCATAAGATGTTCCTTTTCTTATCCTGCTGTTACTCTCAAACTATTGAGGCACTGGCTAGGCAATCCTGGGAGTTGAACTCCACACAACTTCAAATTGCTAAGGTTGAAAAACACTGGTCTAGATAAAGATTACTTAAGGTCATCCAATTCTTCATTTCCTTCCACTGCTTTATTCTGAGATGAGATTCTATTTGAACAAATTTGCCATATCCAAACTCTTTGGCTGTGAAGGCAAGGAGTTTGAGGGAATTCAGTCCTAGTTTGTAGGAAGGATATGTTGCTGAAGTAACACTTTCCTGCTGTGTTTCTGCAGGTTAATCCCCAGCTCTTACCTGTAGTGCAGGGGTATGCTTGAATGTTTGGAAAGGCCTACAGATCACTATAGCTGAACTGATGTGGCAAATTGGGATGGCTTTTGTTGAGTTTGTGGGATTTTGAACTCTTTACTTGGATTTTTAAAAGGTATCAATATTAAGGCTTATATTAACATTTTTGTGTTTTTTACCTCAAAATCACACCACCCATTTTCTTCATTTATGGTCAGAGGTTCCAAGGTCACAGAAGAACAGCTGGAGAGTCATACATTTTTCCCCAAGCTACCATATTAATTCCCAGTTTAAGACAAATGTGCTAAATGGGTGGCATATTAGAAATTCTAAGTCTTTTGAAGCGGGATTAGAAAAAAATGAATTAAAAAGGTAATGTACTTAACCATGCAATGTGCTGTAGATTTTTAGCAGTTTTCTTGTTTAATTAGCTGACATCTTTTTGAGCTGACATCTTTTCAAGGCTTTTGTGGGGACTTGAATGCCCCACAAGTTATGCACCTCTATTTTAAATTATTGGTGAAAATCCCCACCCAAAGCGAACACATGTGGCTGAATGGGAATTTATCTCCAAGAGTTATCACAGAACTTTGTCACAGGCATTTGATTGCTATTGGTTGGTATAATGTATACCCAGTACTAATGCAATGGGACAGTATTACATAAAAGAAACTTATTATTCTAGAAATAGTTACTCACTTTACTGTGCTGAGCTGATGGCAAACATGAAAGATGTCCCAAGCACAGAACGGATGGTGCTCTGCAGTCAGCAGTGGAAACTTCTTTCCCAAAAGGAAAAGGATGCCTACCACAAAAAGTGTGATCAGGTAAGTAGAGCTAGAGGAGCAAGTATTAAAAATATTTCCCAGAAGGAAAAAAATCCACTTCCTGATTTCTGGGTCAGCTGGCTATTCCATTGTTGATAGAGAATTGTATTTATCCACATTCAGAAATGCAATAGGATAATCCTGTTCATGGTTTTGGAAGTTTAGTCCCTTGTTCAGAAGGCAAATAAACACCTGTCTCTACAGGGGGCAAATAAACTGTACGCTACTACATGAAATATAAATAAATAAAATGTGTAAAATCTCCTCAATTAGTTGGGCTAGTGATTCACCAATTCCTTGGCTAACCTGATGTTATTAAAAGGCATACCTTTGAGTGCCTCTCAATCCTCTGCCGTACTAGATTAATGTTCTTTCAATTAAAAATAGCAGAAGGGAGACAGACATGCTGTAGAGCAAAGTGCCAGTCCTAAAGTCATCTCCTTTCAAAGAAACTCTAAACTCTAAACAAAGTCTCTAACCAAAATATAGCAAGGAGCACTTGGTGACACTAAAAGTCTACCTGTATCCATTCCACTTGTTCAGCTGTTTTCTGCCATTTTGTCCCTCGTGGCAGCCATTTTGTGGAAGAACAGCCATTTTTATAAGATGCCTCAGAACAGAATTCTCAATATTCCAGATAAGAGGAATCTGAAACCAGAGACCATTGTGGGCTCGTTAATATGGAAAAATTAAATTTGCAGGAGTTCTCAAAGCAAAAGTGTAATAAACTAAAATTCAAATACATCTCATTGCCCTCACCCCATGGAGAAGCTGTGATAATGTAGGTTACTTACTCCCTGAACAACAAGTCTTGTTAGTCACTGCAAGTTTCATCTTGTTTGTAATAATACAGGAGTGTACTATTCGGGCTGCATCAGATGTGCTTAACATGTTGAGGGCTGCACCCAAAACAGGCAGAGCAGGATATTTTTTCTCACAAAAATTTCTTCCAGAAAAAGATTGGAAATTTTGCCGGTAATAAACTGGAAGATTCTGAGGACCACAAACATACTCCTGGTTTTCTGTGTCTGCCTTCTACTATAGGATAAAAACGAAATCCAGTCTTCTCCATAATGAAATAATTTCCTTTGGTTTGTCATAAAAACTGGGTATTTTCTCTACCCTTTTTTTTTTTACAGTTGAATTAAATAAAACACAAATCAGTTGCTTAATTTGGCCATTTTAATATACTCTTATCACAATGTGTTTATTTCAGCTAATACCTATCTGACTTTAATCATCTGATATCAGTTATGATTATTGTAGACTTCATTTCAGCTTTATTTAATTGACACAGGATTGAGAGCGGTCCTTGTTTAAACATGAGCACACTGAAATCTCAAATAGTAGTCAATTTACAATAATGGAAAGGAAGAGGACTGTGATACAGAACAGTTGATGCAAGGAATTGTTTAAGAAAAGTATGGCAGATTCTTTGCTGTGCTTTCAGAATCTCCTCCAACCATTACAGCCATAGCATCCTCTGTGAATTTGATAACTAACAATTGCAGTGTTGATAATATAGCCCTTTCTAGCCCATTTTAAATTCCTAGGAAGGGCAAAAGTCACAACAGATGACTTGATCATCCAAGCAGGCTGTTCATAACTTCATTTGATATAAGCTGAAACACACCTCAGCACAAGTCGATTGAATCTATATCCGTGGGCTTCTCTGTCTCTCCTATGTTTGTAAAATTTAAATTGGAACAATATGTTGAATGTATTATAGCCGAGTCTCTTTCTTTCTATCTCTCTGTCTTTGTCTTTCTGGGTTGGATTAGCCCACAAGGGTGTAGACACATTATTCAAAATCTCACTTTTCTCATAATCATCACCTAGTTGTAGTAACAGTAATTGAAGCAATAGTATTACTGTTTAATAACGATCAGGCACCCCTCTCTTTGCTTTCTGTTCAGTCATTCCATTTCACGTTATTTCTTAAGTATAGATGGACCCTGCCTTTTTTAGAAATAAATTTTAAAAATAGTATTACCTCTGATACACATATCTATTTTTTTCAGGTGTGTGTGTGTGTGTGTGTGTGTGTGTGTAAGAGAAAAAAACAATTGAAAACCTGACTACATAACCATCACACCTTATACTTCTCCCCTTGATTTCTAACAAATTACTATGTAGAGTTTAAGTAGGATTCTCTGGAAGTGGTTGGATCGTCTTCCAAGGAATTCAATAAGTCTGCCAAATTTAAAGAAATCTCTCAAAGATACCAGGAAATTATCACAATAGTTTGATTCCCAAGGCAGACCTGCATAAAAGAGTAGTAATTCACAACTGAAAATACAATTAGTAGTGTGACTATGACAGGAAGGTGAAAGCTGGTAGTTGTACCCTTATAAACCATTATATGGTCTTGGGGCAATCTTCTGTCTTAATTCTATCAGATATTCCTGGCTCGGCAGGCTCATTATTGTCATGGAGGATTTGAAAAATCACAAAGCATATTGGACAAGGCAGCCTCCAGGTGAATTTCAAAGTCTTCGTATTGCCAGCTGTGGGTATCCCCCAAGCTGTTTCCCAATTAATGTATGGAGTATGAAGGCTGATGGGTGTTGCTGCTGCGTTAATAGAATCTTATTTTCAGTGCCCACTACTAAACATAAATATTCATAATTGGCTGATTAGAAAGTTGAAATTGGCTGAGAAGAAAGTTGAAATCAGATGGATGTCAGTCAAATCCTTGCATCCTTCCAGGATCACATTTGGAGTGGAGGTCAACTTGCAGTAACCAACTAGGCATTTCTATAAACTAATTTCTTACAAACTTGTAAGAATCAAGAGAATCAATTTGTTTAGAGAGGCAACTCGGGTGGAGCAAGGAAAAGGAAATAGGAACCATTTGACATACCCCAAAAATAATGTTATCATCTTGCCATTTTCCTTTGTAGAGAAAGAAAGATTATGAAATTGAGCTTTTGCGTTTCCTGGAGGTGAGTATGAACCACAGCACACCAATATACATATTCAACTATCTTAATTAAATGAATTAAACTTAGAAAAAACTTGACATTGGTTAGCTCATAAACACTACAACAATTTGCTGGTTTCAATTTAGCATAGGATTGGAGAATGAGCTACTGTTTTCTTGAACTCTTCAAGATAGTTTTTAATTATAATGGGACTTTGACAAAAGCAGGTTGCTCACAAAATGACCAGCACCTGTACTGCTGTCATCCTGTTTCTTTAAGTCCTCTTCCCATTGTTGACTATAAAAGCTGTTCTGAGAGACAGCTGGATATGGGTGTTTATGGTTGGAAGTGGATAATAGCTGTGAATACTTATTCGTTTGCTGTTTAGAACCTGTGTTATAGCCTCTTTGGTGTTTGGAGCCCACTAAATTGGACATAACATGACAGGGAACATGGTGACAGAGCTTAATTCTCCTCTGCCAAAACCGAATTTTCTTTCTTTGGCAGGGAGATATAAGTTAATAATTTGCAGTTGTGTTTATGCCATTCTTATTTCTTCAAAATATTTGAGTTTATATTTCAAAATGCAGTCTAGCGATCTCCGTGTGTTACATGTTAATCTGTATGGTTTTGGTGGATCACATTGGGTTTCTTGAAAAGCAATACTGGACAAATTTCTTCTATATGTTGGAACCTCAGTCATATAAAACATCCTGAAAAAGGTTGTAAATAATATACACAAAATTGCATTTGTCCTTTCTGTCCCTTCAGCATATTTTATAAGTTTTTCAGTGATTTTCAGAGGAGCTTCCTCATTTCAAGGCAGGGAAGAACAGGTAAAAGATTATGACAGTATAGATGCTGTATAAGTAGTTTAGTGACCACAGTTGGGACTGGCAACTCAATCATTAAGCAAAGTGCTTACTAAATAAAATCACAATCTTACTTCAGTTTTCCTGCAAAAGCAGGCATTGGTCACAAAGTTATTTTTTCATCGCTGCCCTAACTGAATGGTCGCTATCTGAAAATGTCACTAGGGTAATTGGAAAGAGATTCTCAGAAGAAAATGAATAGGCAGATATAGAGATTTCTGTTGATACTGAAATTTACTCTGCAGGGAAAATAACAAATACCTCTATAACCCTTTAAAAACTGTTATTATCTTTTAGAGCCTCCCTGAAGAAGAACAACAGAGGGTTTTGGGAGAGGAAAAAATGCTGGGAATAAATAAGAAAGGTGCCACCAGCCCTGCCTCTAAGAAGTCATCACCAGATGCCAGCAAGGTGGGTGACCTACCCATACATTATGGATATGGAGGTACTTTTACATAAAAACAATGGAATTAATTTGATCTTTAAAACAGCCTCAAGACTTCATTTTAAATGGCTGCTGGACTTGCTTTAAAAAATTTATTACTAAACATGATGCCACCATTCCCCAAACAGTTCAGCCAACTTGGAAAAAACTTATTCGATAAATCCATCTCCATTTTAATCTAGTAACAGTTAGTTGGTTAAAATAAATATGTGTTCAGGTCTTAACAGAGGAACCTTTTTGAGATATTGGATGTATGAAATTATTGATTTTTAATTATCAACATTATTATATTCAAATGCTCATCTTTAAAAAGCTTTTTTGTTTACTTTTCATTGCATTAAGGCAATTAAACAAAAATTGTTTTAACTTTTACAGCCCTACCAATTAAAATCTGATTTCATTGGTATAAATGGCTTCCTCTTACTGATTAATGAAGTAAGATGCTAGTTGATCAATCTAATAATCGACTTTGCAGGTCTAAAATTAAATTTGTTCTTTCCATAATTCACCCAAACAAAAAAGATAAATGCAAAGTTCCACAATCATGAGTCCCTTTGTCTCTTTAACAGGGAGGTTCTGAGAAACCCAAACGACCTGTTTCTGCTATGTTTATCTTCTCGGAGGAAAAACGCAAGCAGCTGCAGGAGGAGCGACCTGAACTGTCAGAAAGTGAACTGGCCCGGTTGCTGGCGCGAATGTGGAATGATCTTTCCGAGAAAAAAAAGGTTGTTTAATCAATTATGCACATTCTCCTAATTATCTTTGGGGGTGGAGATGTTGGGGAACATAAGTTCCTGGATATCTCAGTCACATAGATTTTTTTTTCTGTTGACTTAGAACAAACCAGGAATATGACCCTCATCCTCACTCTTAAAAAAAAAATAGGAAAAGAAAAACATGCTAGATACTTGCAGTAAGTTCTGGGATTTTCCAGAACCATGAGCACCAAACTCCATCACAGTCTGGGTGCTCCTATCATTCCATCATTCAAGCGTGACATCTTTTAGTATTTATGTATTTATTTTTCCCTAGTTGGGTGTTGTCTATGGAGCCAGACCTCGACAGTACCCTCATGGTGCAAAAATGGGGCCAGCCGGAGCCTATTAGGTATTCAGTAATCGGTATTTCCCATGAGATCTATGACAATTAAACAGAGAGGTTTTGAGGCTTGGTTTAGAAGCCTTGAGAAGGGAAGTGTGTGAAACTTTCGGGAAACTGTACATGCACATTGATTGCCACTTAAAAAGTTGAGCTTTAGAGGGATGAGATGTCATTTGATGTTGTTTAGGTACAGTATACGCATCAAAGGCTGGATTGGGGTAAAGAAAGGACTATTTATCAAACTATACACTCATCCCTAAGCTGAAAACCTTTTTACACAAGGAAATCCCAAGTGAACAGTAGGATGATTTTTTTAAAAAATTTGCTTTATTTAAGCACATATTTTTGGTCCCTTTGAGTCAATGTTAACTTTCAGCAACTGCCTGGATGAATCCCTCTGTTATTTGTTCAAGACTTTGGAAATGATTTGTCTACTTGTTAGAGGGAAGATTTTGGTGGGAACAAAGCATCTGTTGTAGACTTCATTAAAATTAGCTTTGTATCCCGTCTCCTAGAAGCACATTGGAAAAAAAGAGAAAGAAACGGAATGAAAATTTAAAATCTCTAGGAAGCTGGATCCTAATTGGTCTAGCCCATCTCTTCAATATACTGTATATGTTTTTTAATTATTTAATTATATCTCGCTGTTTTGCTTTATAGAAGCACACATCAGTAAAAAAAACAACAAAAAACAGAACAACTAGCAGTGATACAGGTTCGACTTACAACCACAGTTGGGACCAGAATTTCTATTGCTAAGCAGGCTGTGGTAGTTAAATGAGTCATGTCTGATTTTACAACTTTTTTTTTTTTTTGTCACAATTGTTAAGCAGAGATGACTGCCCTCATTGACTTTGCTTATTGGAACCGGCTGAGAAGATTGCAAGTACCGATCACATGACTCTGAGATGCTGCAACCATCATATAAATACGTGTCGGTTACCAAGCACCCAGTTCTTCTATATAAGAAGAATAAAAGCATGTGTCCATTTAAGTTAGCATTACCTTTCTAGGTAGCAGTATTTTAGATAAAAGCTATCAGTTCCCGGCTTGTCATTAGCATATTTCCAGGTTTGAAACAAAGAATGTAAAAGCAGAAAGAGAGTCTTTGGAAGATAGCAATTAGAAATATTTTTCTTGAAGTTCAACTTTCAATCTCTTTTCCTACAGAGGATTGTAAGTGAGGCCTTACCAATTATTTATAAGTTATTTAAGTTTTTTTTTAAAGTGAAGGGGGCTTTTGCTTATAAATCACTACTCTCCTTGCAGAATTTTAATTGTTCAGAAATATTTGTAGATAATCATTTCCACATGTGTTTTTAATGCATGGTTTGTATAATTCAAGCCTCCGTCCAGCTGTCTTTTTTTAAGGCACAAGGCTGTATTTTTAGTTTTAAAGCATTTTCACGAATTCACCACAGTAGGGTTTAGACTTAGAATCATGGTTCTGGATCATAAAAAACAAATTTATCATTCCTTTTTCTCAACTCTCTGTCTAGAAGAGATGTTGATGTCTTGGGGAGAAGGTATTTTTTGTTAGTGCTACGTTATTGGCAATCATAATCTCAATTTGACTACAGCCATAGTATTTACCTAACTTGATGGAATTGTATCTGTATTATATTGTTTTCCATAGTCTCAGTTGTTTCTAATTATCTTTAGGTATATTATTGGATTAATGCATAGTTTACATGGAGAAATTGGGTGAGGTTTTTAAGTTCCAATCCTGCTGGCTCAAATCAACTCTGATGTTGGATTTTCCCAATACAGAAATATCCTGCCTGGATGGTTAGCCACGGTGGACTAAACCAAATAATCTGCTCTGGTTTTTTCTTTTTGGAACTAGTTTATGCTACTTAATTCCAAGTTTCTGTATAACACTTAGTGAATCTTAACTCAGAGAGGTTGGCTGTTCTTGCTCTTTCCTTATCTAGGCCAAATACAAAGCTCGGGAGGCTGCCCTAAAAGCTCAGACGGAGAAAAAACATGGTTCTGACAAGGAAGATCGTGGCAAACTTCCTGAGTCACCCAAGACTTCTGAGGAGATCTGGCAGCAAAGTGTTATAGGAGATTATCTTGCCCGCTTTAAGGTAAAGTCAGAAATGGACAAGCATGGCCATAATAGGAAACATCTTCATAGCCTTGAGATTTCCTCCACAACTCTCCTCCAAGATTTTATCAAGCCTGATTCTGGTTCAGTTTGATTTTGCAGTGGGGGGAGGATGAGTCTGGATCAGTGTTTTTGTCAGCCTCAGCAACTTTTAAGATGTGTGGACTTCAGTTCATGGAATCCCCCAGGTAGCATTCTGGTATTGGCTGAGGTTGATCCATTAATTTAGATTAACAAACTATTAGTCCTGTTTGGCTGCTGGAGAAGAGTGACATTTCTCAACTAGATCGCTTTTCAACCACACAGTTTGAGCACTGAATTCTAAATTGGTCATGTTAGTTGTTAGTCAGAAACAGTTTTAGACTGGAGTTTCTATATAATCTGGCAATATTTTTTAAGTGTACAAAACATGAATTTTAAGCCTTTCAAATTGGATATGCCTTGTTGCATACTTGAAACATTATTTTGAATTAGAGACAGGGTTTCCAATCTTAACAGAAATATACCAAGCTCTCAGCAGCTCAAGAATGATTTTATTATTGCACTGTATCTTGGTACAGCAATTTGAGAAGTGGTATTATAGTTCAAAGACACAAACAACCCCCTTCCCCATTTCAGAGGAACCAGCCTGAATCCCCTTTCCTGCCCATATAGCACACTCTAGGGCAATGCTACAGAACATGTATGCCTTCCTTTATTAAGCTTGTTTTTTCCAGTTCCAAATTCTAGCTTCACACATGCACGCACAAATATACATTTTCCTCCTCCTACAACTCCTTCAAGGTGGATAATTATTGCCAGGTGCCTTATAAATAGTAGCAAGAATTTGCTGGTTGGAAAGAATGCGGAATGATACATGAAGATGTATCATTGAAAATGAAGATGGAGAGGAAGCACAGCAAAGAAGACAGAGGTTAAGCCAGGAAAATATGCGGAGTGAGGGGGGAAAAGTGAAATTGCTAACTAAGTTAATGGGTTGTGTGAACAGAAAGATACGAGCCTTCTATTTTTGTTTTGAAATGGTTGGAACCATACATTTGGAATGCAGTTTATATAGAGTCCATAAAGTTTGATAATCCTTCCTTTATCTCAGAATGACAGGGGGAAAGCATTAAAGGCCATGGAAGCTACCTGGAATAATATGGAGAAAAAAGAAAAACTTATGTGGATTAAGAAAGCAGCAGAAGATCAAAAACGATATGAAGTATGAGTCGTTAATTATACTATGTTAGAGCAAGCATGCATGTATGCATTATTTCTTTAGGAATGTAGGAAACTGAGAGTTGTGATGTTCATTATTCCATTTATTAAGCAGTGATATCTGAGAGGACTTCAGAAACACATTCTTTGGAACAGCGTTTTCCCTGAGATTTATCTGACCCCACCACCCTGCTCTTATTTTAAAAGAGTCCTTAAAATCAGGGTCTTCCTCTATAGGTCTTGGATTAGACTGCTCATCTGGTTGCATGTGTGGCCTAGTTTTTAGAATGGGTCACCTTTTGTGCTAGATAATTGTAGTGTTTTGTTTTTTTACTTGTATCATTTTTACTATGGAATTTATTATTGTACAATGGGGTTGAGCAACTTTACAAATAAATACAGCATTAACTTTTTTTGTCTTCATTAAAAAATACTAATCAGGTTTCTAGCTTCAGGCAAATGTGTTTGAAAATTGTTGGAAATATTTCTGTTCAGGCTGTTAAAATGGCTGAATAATATTAAGCATTACCTACCCAAATGGTTTATTTGGCCCAAAATTATAATTTTTAGTATTGTGTATTAAAGGTTATGGTTTGGAGGATAAGCAGACCTAACTGTTCCTTCTTTATTGAAAACATTCAAATAATTCATTAAAAACTCAAACAGGATAAGAGAAAAAACAACTGTTTATTCTACTTTTTCCTGTTTTGTAGCGAGAACTGAGTGAGATGAGGGCACCACCATGTTCAACAAATGCTTCCAAGAAGATGAAATTCCAGGGTGAACCAAAGAAACCCCCCATGTAAGTGTTGGCTTAATAGAATACAGAAATGTGGGGTTGTCTGAATTCAGGAGAGCCTTGTAGCTTGGCTGATTAGTACTTGTAGAATGTAGAGTATTAATCCACCCTTTGGGGGTGGAATACGCTTCTTCCTATTACTTTGTTCTATTTAAAAGATACAAATTTTCTACTCAACAAACTACTTCTTAAAGTGTTTTTTTCCAAAACAACTTCAAAAGAAACTTAAGACTAAAATTGTATTGAAGTTTAGATATATTGTATACATATGCACTACTCCACCCCTGCACAATCTCATACAATCCAGCCAAACAACAGAATAAAAGGGCCTAACTTTACAAAAATGTAGTGAAGCAAAATTGGAACTGGAATTTTATGAAACTTCTTAATACCCTTCATGAGATTGAAGGAAAAACATATTTAAATAGGAGTCTGGAAATTGTGGGAAAATATTGTTACATCTCACTTTATGTTCCTGTTCTAAGTTTGTAAGATCTTTGTAAGGACATGTGGGAGGTGGGCAAATGGATGTTTTGCACACTTTCTGGGAATCATTCTACCACTGAAAGTTGCTCTTAAGTGTCAGGAAATGGAACAGATGAAACAGATGTTGCTTAGTTGGAACTAAGCTTGCCATTAATTATTATACCAAGGATCCCAGCCACTAATGATCTACATTGCTTCATTTTTTCATCTACAAAGCCATACCTTTGATAACTTTTTTAATGAATCTAAAGTGTGATAGCCGAGAATATCTCCCAGCATTAATTCCCAACGATTATGAAATTGTTTAAAATAAATTACCTGTTCTGAATATTACTGTTGCAGTGAATTTGAAAATGTTAAGAGTAATAGACAGATTCTTGTGTCTTTTCAGGAATGGATATCAGAAATTTTCTCAGGAGCTGCTTTCAAATGGTGAACTCAACCATCTTCCTCTGAAAGAGCGAATGGTAGAGATTGGGAGCCGCTGGCAACGGATCTCTCAGAGCCAAAAGGATCAGTATAAAAAGTTGGCTGAAGAACAGCAGAAACAGTACAAAGTGCACCTGGACATGTGGCTGAAGGTGAATTCTAAAGTGGGGAAAGGAGGAGGGGAGGGGAGGTAACATATCCTTGATAAATTACAATAAAATACAGGTACAATTTTTAAAAAACCTGTGAATTTAAATGAAGTCATTATTTCTAGCTTCTATATGAAATATTGTTCTCCATTATCAATGACACGCAGTTATGGATCCTTTGTAACCTTTAATTCAGATTTCTCAAGTTGTCTCCGTCCTCAACTGTCCTGTTTCACTGAATGTCTTTTAATCTTAGTTTTCCATCCTCATCTATTTTTTTTAATTTTTTTACAGACCTTATCACCACAAGAGAGAGCTGCCTACAAAGAGCATACCTCCAGTGTTAGTATTTTGCAAGTATTTCTTTTGGGGTGGGGGGTGTCAGGAGATTGCATATCTGTTGTGTTGAAAAGGATGCTTCTTGAATTTTTTGCATGAAATGAAATGTAGCTTGAGCTGGAGCTCTGAAAGGAAGGTGGCGTCGTCTGCCAGGCATTTCAGGATCCATATTATTCAGTAAATTATTTATAATGGAACATGAGAGGGTGAATGTTTTCAGAATTAATAGAATCTTAGGTTATGATACGCTGTCGTAGGGGATAGCTATACTGAAGTAGCTACTACTGGAACTGTGCACCAGAATACAAGTAGAGTTTGTGACTATTGAACCTTTATCCATTTGCTACTTTTTAGTTTCCAAGCTCAGGACTGGCATGAAGTTGATATTAGTTGATATGGGTTTTTTTTTATACACTTTAGTTGCTTTGAACATTCATGCTGAAGATAAACGTAAAGTCTTGTTAGACAACAAATACATTGTTCATGTATTCATACGTTTAATTATACTTCTCAATCTGATGCCCTCTAGAGATGATAAGAGGACAACTTCCATCATCAGCAGAAATGCAGTCAGGTTGTGGAAGACCAAATTAGGTGGTATAAATGCTGGCTGTTTTTCACCTGCATGTTCCCCAGAGGCTGCTACATCAGGATAGAATAAAAGTTAACAAAAACTACTATACAGATGCTATAATGTGAGAGAATTTGGTCTGGGTACAACTGTTTAGAAATCGTTATTGAGCCAGAAATTGCTGGCTTAATAACCAAAATGAAAGAAGCAGATGTGCAATCAATTTTTAGATATTTAAAAGAGAAATTCAAGAGAAATGGTGGTAGTGATATGTCAGGAATGGGCAACTCATGGTCTTCATATCCTATTTTATGGCTCTTAACAGATTCTTTCTGACCCTTACTGCTGAATCTGTGCCATTTGGAAACAGATTAAAAATAAGATGTACCCCAAAATAGACACTTCACTATGCTAAAAGCAAAATGTCTTCCCCCGGGAGCAATCTCAATTATTTTACAGTCCTTTGTCTGTCTCGAAATATTAAAAGTAATTATTGGCCAATTCTGCAGTAAAGAATAAATGTTAGGGGAGAAATGAATTCCCTAGCAGCTAGCTGAATATTATCTTTGGGTAGAATTTGTTACACCTCCTCATTTTACCAATTTTGGCATCAGTATATGTTCAGAGGTACGTTTGAGGGTCACAGGCTATAAATCAATAAGGATGAAAGATTTAGGTAATGGAAATTGTGTTGTGTTTAGACTGATTTGTGAAAAGCAGTACAGTCTCCTATGTTGATTATGTCTCTTCCACTTCTATCTCATCAGAAACGTAAGAATATGGGGAAGATGCGAGGCCCAAATCCAAAAATGAAACCTTCAATGCAGTCCAAATCAGTAAGTATCTTAATAATGCTATGTCTATGTTATACACAGCTATTATTGCCTGGTGAAAAATTCCAAAAAAAAGAATGCTGTTTTGAGGTCAGCTGGTATTTTCAAAGTAGTAACAGAATCCTGGAAGTAGTATAAAATCCAGAAGCCCCCCCCCCCCCTTTTTTTTTTTTGTTTGTTTGCGGAAATAAAAACAGCACAATATTTCTACAGCTGATGGATTTTCTACTAATCCTAGTGCCACGGTGCCTACAATCCAAGCTGAAGTGCTTGGCAGATCTTTAAAGAAACTGTCTTCTCCTGAGCTTTCAAGGCACATGTAGTTCTAGGAAAATGGAGTGAGCCTGTGGCTGTACCCATTTGCTGTCTTCATAACTCAAAACCATATTTTCTTGGGATAAGGCAGTATTCTGCAAGAAAAGGTGTGGGACACCAGATCCAAAGCACATTTCCTATTTCGGATCTTATTACAACACTTTAAAAATTTCCCACTAATTCCCTTTCTGCCAAAATTATCCTCTGTTGCAGCCATAGGAAAATTATATTATTTGCTAAATACTTTGGAGTGCTTTCATGCTTATTTGAATCAAATTAAGCTGGATTTCATCAGTTAAGCTTAATTAAAGGAAAACTTAAATTTTGTTTTTGTATTAGTCCCACTACTATAGTAATGAGAAAGTTATGACTCTCCATATATTAACCATTAACTTAAGTGTGCACAATAAGACATTCTATTTTAGAAATGGGAATATGTTTGGCTGCTTTAGATTTAATTCATTGTAGTCCTCATGAATACCTTCCCTAAAGTTGAAAACTAATTTGCTTTTAATCTACACTCTACATCCACAGGAATCTGAGGAAGAGGATGAAGATGAGGATGAGGAGGATGAAGAGGAAGATGACGATGAGGATGAGAATGGTGATTCCTCTGAGGAGGGAGGAGACTCTTCAGATTCAAGTAGTGAAGAGGAGAGTGAAGATGGGGAAGAGGTGAGGCTCTGCTTATCCCCAAAAGCCTTAGACAACATGGCTCCTTCAAAGTACCTCAGCATGCTCTCCTTCCCTCAGGATAGAGCAGTTTCCTATTTCCAACAAAGCATCTTGGCAGTGGGAACTTCTTTTAAATGTGCTTCCACAGATATAACGAATTTAATGAATATATATTTAATGAAATATAACTGAAATATTCCAGAAAGCCACAGTTTAAAATATGATTTATTTTTTGAAATACATTTCTCAGATAAATACCCTGTAAGAGCCTAAACTGTTTTATGATGAAATTGAAAAAAACAGTCACTTCACACGTTTTTTGCAAACTAGCTATGAGAATGGCAGGTTTTAGGGCAGTGATTCCTTATTGGCTCAACTTTGCCTACGAATGAGTGGTCCCATTAACAAATATTTGTCAGCAATAGTTTGTCCCTGCTATGGTTTCTAAAATGAGATAGCTTCATAGGAGCCAGATGTTGGGACATCTGCATTGGTTTTTGTATAGTGAAAAATGAACAGCTGTATTCTGCCAAATGTTAAATTACAAAAATTGAGCAAATTTCTTAATTGACACAATGAGGTTATCTTTTTTTGTGGATAATCAAGAGATGACATACACAGGATCGCCCAACAGTGAATTTTAATAGTTCCCCTGTCCCTTTCTCAAACAATCAAGATTGCTGCTTCCCCACTAATAATATCAATAGAAAAACAACAGTTTAATTCACCCTGGAATTACAGTGGTAGCAAACCCTTTCCAGATCTAAAGAATCCTCCTGACTGGGTTTTAACAACAGCACAACAAAGACGGCAAAGAGAGAGGATAGATCTATAGATAGCACTGGCCTTTGTTAGCCCGGTTTGACCTGCAGGTTGACAGTCTGTATAGCCTATGAGCTAACCATCTTTTGAAAGGGTGAATAGATACTGAGATGCTTAAAAACCGGGATTCTGTGCTCCCACTTACCCTTCTGTCAGATTTACAGGAAGTGTGTTTCCTGTTCTATTTGTAGCTTCCTTCCCCCCCAAACCTTTGGCTTGCTCTGTAACTCGCCTCTTCTTTTCCAGAATGAAGAAGAGGATGACGAAGAAGATGACGATGACGACGAGGACAATGAATCAGAAGGCAGCAGCAGTTCCTCATCCTCTTCAGGAGACTCTTCCGATTCGGACTCCAACTGAATTGTCTTTCATCTTCCACCTTCCTTGCTGTACTTTATTCGGTTTTGTTTTTCCGGATAATAGTAACATTGCAGCTGGAAAGCTGGGAATGGGGAAGAAACAGAGGGGGGGCGGGGGCGGGGGAGGGAATCACTGTGGTTTAATTCACTTCCTTTCTTCACACGCCTCACATTGCATTAACGATGTGTGGGTGTGGCAGAGAGGAGCAAGGGGCAAGGTACACAATAGCTGACAACCAGCTGAGGGGTGTACTTTTCCCTTTTTTTATGGCTGATGATAGTGTGGGGAGAGAACTTCATTATATAATCCCTTCTCTCTCCCTCCCCTTAAATCTCTGTTTATGAGAGATGACAGGGGTCATAGCAAAATCCAGACTCCTTTAACTTCTTTTCCCCCCTCTCATCTTCATCCTTCTTCCAACCCCCAGTTCTAGCCACCAGCTTGGGACTTTGTACAAATCCTTTTTTAAACAACAACATGGCAATGAGAGACATTTTCCCCTTTTTCTCCATCAACCCCAGCAAACAGCCAAGGAGAGATGGATTCTGAAAGAGCACGAGCTGTGGGAATTTGCCAGTGAGCCCCATCACTCCTCATAATGGACAATCTTGTATAGTCTTGATCTTTCACATTTTAACAAAAGAGAAAGAGAGAAAGCAAACAAAGTGGCTGCAACTGCACTTAGCAATTTCCTGTGACAAACTGGATATCCAGCATTTCCTGCTGAGGGAAATGGGAGTTGGGGAGGGTCATATTTTGTGTGAGCGTGTTGCAAGAGTCAAGGGATAGAAGAGGAACTGAAGAACGGGATTTTTTTAATTTTATTTTTTTGCAAAGGGGAAATGTCTGGCATACTGTTGAAGATGGAGAGAATTTCAAGAACTTCAAGTGACTGGCTTTATTTTGCTGGAGATGGACTTTTCTGTCATTTTTCTGACCAGCGTTTGGATAAAGACCATAGTAGCCAGACCCCTTTGGGTTGATGTTGTTGTTAATATATATATTTTTTTTTACAATGAAGTGACCAATAATTGTACCAAAATGGGGCATTTTGTTGACTGTCTTTGGGAGGGGTGGTTGGTTGTGGGGATCATATGTGTCATTAGCATTTTTTAAAAAATATTTTATAAACCAAGTAAGACAACCATCTTTTTTTACAACAAAACGTTCCCTCTTTGACATTAACCTCTTTACGTGTCTTTTACCAAATGCAGAATTTAGTAGTTTTAAGATCTTGAGGAAAAATGATTTCTGTGAGACCGTGTATTGAAGAAATACAAATGTATGTTTTTTTTTCCAACATGTCTTGAACACACTAAGTTGAATTTTCAATTCAATTCTGGACAGAAATGTGATGTCAGGAAAAGATCAGGCGCACAATTTCTCTCTTCCTGCCCCAACCCTCTCTTTTCTTTAGCATGGCTTTTAAATATCTGTGGAAGTTCTGTAAATTAGGCTATCATTTAGGAGAAACTTAGCTAAGCATATAAATCACAAATAACCAATCCTAGGTGAAGTTAATATTTTGTATGTAGGCATTGCAATAAAACAAAGTTAAGTGATAACAGAAGTGAAAGATTCCAATCTTGGATTTCATAGGTACATCGAATTTTTAAAAAGGGCGGAGATCATATAAGGTAAAGGTTTGAGAATAAGCTCCTAAATCATCTCCAAAGGTTTGAGAATAAGCTCCAATCATCTCCAAATAGGCCAATATATTTGGGGAGGGGGGGGATAACAGTTATTATTGCAATCTTAATTTTCAGATATCCTGCCCAGGGCTATAGGAGGTATGATTGAATCCTTGCCTGGAAAGGATTGAAACAATAAGACTTGTATTTCACTCCTTATTCACCACTCCCATGAAAAAAAATTTCTATCAGTTCTAGTGGTCAAAATAAGGCAAGGGGAAGGACAAATTATGTCTTCAGTGATAAGCCACCCTACCAATATCCGTTCCTGATTGACATGGGAACCTCATAAAGGAAGGGTGTGGTTTCCTTCCCTTAATACTATTAACATTCAGATAATTGTTTTGTTTCTTGTAAAGAGCCAGTCTGAATCAGGTCTCATTACCCTTTCTGTCTCAAATATCAGTATTGTATAGGCAGGGATTATCTATCGTCACTTGGTGAATATAAATACACTGGAAAACACAGTATGTGAGCAAAGGGCTCTATTTGGACATGCAAGCAAAATATTCTACATTTCTTTCACACATTACTCAAAGGGGACTTGACCTTATCCTAAATAAATGTGATTTAGATTGCCTGTTAAATAACCTCACCTTACAAATATATGTTTGCCACACAAGAGGATATGCATCTTATGCATACACAAATGTATGCATGCACACATACTATATGTAAACAATTTGTGGTCTTCAAGTGAGTAAAGATAACCTTAAAAGTGAACTATGTAATTAGAAGGGAAAGCTTCCAGTATTTAAAGGGCCAGTGCCTTTGTTACTGCTTTTCCCTCCTGAAAATCTAAAGGAGATTATATTTTTGAGGACAACAATGTAATTTAACACTAACATGGTATCCTCAAATAATCCTGTCCTTTTCCAAATAAGTGAAGGAGCAACAAACACATGCAACAAAAGTCAGTAAAATAAGCATCTGTGGTGACTTGGGATTTTCTTAGGTGATCTGATGCTTTTTTAAACTACAGGCGCTTATGAAGGAAGTGAATTGAAAATTTACTACGCTTTAAGAATCTAAATAAATTTTAGAAAGTAAAGTAATGTTAAAATCCAAACTTCTAAGTCATTTCAGTCACTTAAATCTTTTAGTTTTTGTACATTTTATAAACAATACATGTTTTAAATGTTTTTGAGCTCTATGGGAAAAAAGATGCATTCTTTCATAATGCCACTGTATAGAAGTTAAGTACATCAAGGTAAAAACAGCAATAGGATAGGTTTTGGATGCAAAGTGTCAGAGTTGGGTTAATGAATGGCCTTCAGGGTATGAAAGTTAATGTTCATAAAACGAAGAAAGTTAGCACTCTCCCCTCCTAGAAGTATGAATTTTTTTGAGAAATATTAAAAAGGCAGAATAATATATTTCCCTGGATGGGAAGTTGAAAAACATGTTCTTGGAAAGAAGCCCCCACCTTCCTTAATAGCCCACAGTAGATGTTAGCGCTTAAGAGATAGATAGCTCTATTCATAAGCACTTAAGAGAGAGATACAGCTCTATTCATAAGCAAATTCTCTGCAGCAAGGTCTGAACAAAGGTAGGATTAGCTCTCAGCCATAATAGGAATTTCCCAACATCTTTTCAGAACACAAACCCCTTCATTGCATCAGCCAAAATTCAACCAAGCTTAGCTCAGACAAACCCCTAGAATTTGTACATGGCACCATGTGAGTCTGACAATAGTCAATATACATGTTCTTCCACAGGAGCAGGAAGCTCAAGTTCAAAGCCCAAGAGAAAGTATAAATAGCCCTCACTCTCAATTCCATGTGGTCAGCTGCCCTGAATCATTTGCTTCATGGTTCTGCTTCACCATTAAACCATCTTTCCAATCAGCCTCCATGTTTCCAGTATCTTCTGGCTTGGAACTGTATGAGGTGGATATTTCTTCCAACAACATGCTAGAAAAAAAAATCAAAACTGCATATATTATGCAACTCTAATTATATGGTCATAGTCTATTTTGCCAGTTCTCAGTTTATTTGCTACATGGAAAACGAGTTATTAGCACTGAACATCCATCCATTAACTTTTTGAATCAATGGTTATCCACTCATTCTCAGATAAGTTTTAAGAGCTACTTTAACAACCTCCAATCTGCTCTTAAATTTTGCTTGCTAGTATAGGTTTAATTTGTTTAGATTAGCAAATTAGTCCTATTGAGCTGAAAGAAGGGGTTCATTCATATACAGATAGTCCTTGACTTAAAACAATTCATTTAGTGACAGTTCGAAGGTACAATGGCACTGAAAAAAGTTACTTCTGATCATTTCCCACACTTACAAACATTGCAGCATCCCCATGGTCATGTAATCAAAACTCAGATGCTTTGGGAACTCACATTTATCACCGTTGCAGTGTCCCAGGGTCATGTGATCACCTTTTGCAACCTTGTGATAAGCAAAGTCAATGAGAAAACCAGATTCACTTGTTAAATTTAACAACAGTGATTCACTTAACTGTGGCAAGAAAGGTTGTAAAATGGTACAAAACTCACTTAAGAAATGTCTCAACAAAAATTTGTATGTAGCAACAAAATGTAGCAACAAAAATTTTGGGCTCAATTGTCGAGCAGTGGTAGGATTCAAATAGTTTAAAAACCAGTTTGCCCAGGACCAGGTTGGCTGTCAGAGGCGTGGCCCGTCCCAGTCCTCCAGCTCCATCGCACATGATGGATGCGGCTTTGCTCCGCATTTGGAAGGCTTCTCACTGGGTGGTCGAATGCATCAAGAAAGACACCAGGCAGGTTCTATCTCGGGTGAGCTGCCCCGAGCACGAGCTCGGGAAGCTCTTTTATTAAAAACACACAGTGATACGTCACAAGCGGTGAACTCTATCCAATCATTATGTTACATGAGTAGAAATATTAGTGGACACATAGTAGCATCAAATCACAGTGTTAGATGGTCAGTTTAGTAGGTACAAAGTAGCCAGTCAGCGTTTGCAGTCCAGTTATTAGCCCATGATGACGTGTTGTTGATTGATGTTTTTTGTTCCTGGTACACGCTTTCAGCCTATGTGAGGCCTTGGGGCCTTGAGGCCTGGTATGTACCGAAACTGTTGAAGCTGATTTATTACTGCATCTCCTCTGTTTTAGTTTTATAGAGAGAAATTTCTTCTGGATCTTCGTCACTGCCCATGCGAAAATCTGTGCGAGCGTACGCATCAGGGTCTTCTGAGGGTATGACTTTGTACAGAGGTTCCTTTTCCCAGAGGGCATTAACCTGTGCAATGGCACGCTTTTCAGCTAATAAGGGCAGACTATTGGAGATAGACGAATAAAAATTGGTAACACACATGGAAGAATAACGCATCCTGCAGCAATCATACCTATGAGAGCTGCTATGGCTTGTAATCCTGGTAATTTTGGGAACCAGGAACTAAAAATATTTTTAAGATTAATACCTTGCCATACTTGATCAGGATTATAGGTTAATTGTCGCATCTCAGTTGTTAATTGTGCTACTACTTTGCCTACTTTATCAATTTGAAGACAACAATTCGTGAGATTGAACCTACCACATACCCCTCCTTCTTTGGCTAGTATGTAATCTAAAGCTAAGTGATTTTGGTAGACAGCTGTGCATAATTTGTCTGTACCAGTTGCTAGAGTGTTTAGAGCCTTGTCTATTCGTTGGCCAGCTAAATCTAAAACAGCTTGTAAACGAATAATTCATATAAATAATATGAATAAATCATATTATAAATCATATATATGGGGGTTCTATATCCATAGGACCCGTCTTGGGAAGATGTTGTGTCATTGAGATAAGGGAGGAGGGAGGTGTTGAATTTGGCAGGTGTGGTGGTAGCATTGTCAGGTGCTGTCCAAGTCTGGTAGGAATTATCCCATGTACCTAAGCAAAGGAGGTGTCCTACTGGAGTGGATCCATTTCGGGAAAAGCAGTTTCTACCAATTAAGTTGGTGGTGATTGTCCAGATAAGTGGATCGGAAACTGTTCTAGCTGTTATGTTTCCTATAGAAGACATGTTATTGAACAGTGATGGTGAGGCTTCTAAGGCTTGCCACGGCCATTGTTCTCCTGTGGTGGTTCTCCCACAGACAAAACAATTGGTTATTGCAAGTTGTTTTGCAATTTTTTCTGCCATATCCATGAACAAGTTTTTTGCACTAACACTGGTATCAGGGGCTTTATCTAATTTCCTCAAATTATTATATACCGACCAACCTAACGATGTTTCCTTACCTTCATATATTATTTCGGTTTTTATGGTAATGTATGTGTTTGGATCCGATCCTGTGCCATCAATCCCTATACCATAAGTATCCAAGGCAGGGTGTTGTCTGGAGATGGTGATTTCTACCTTATTGTCTGTGGTAGACCCTGATATTCGTTTGAAATGTGACAGATGATTGCAGCCTGAGTACCCTCCCCCGGTATAATCACAGACACAAGACCAACCTGAGCACTCGATGGAACCTCCACAAGGGATCCACTGGTTGGGGTTCCCTATGGCCCAGATAATGGGTGTAGGACACAAATATTTATGGTTGTGGGCGTACGTTGTTTTCCAGTCAACCGACCCGCATGAATATCCCCCTGGTTTTGAACAAGCAATACAAACATCAAAGGTTAAAACAATTGGGTTA